GACTTGGTCTCTCTTAACGATGTTTGAGCCTCTGCCACCGGTCAGCCGGTGGTGGAGCAAGAATGGTGAACATTTAAACTGCAACTTTATTTAATAAAAATAGATAAAAGTTTGTATTTAGTGTGAAGCCATTTTAGAAGGCAATGGTCAACATGATTACTAAAATTTGCATAGTCAGCGCTTGTTTGTCTATTGTTCTACATTTAACGTAGAACCTACGTCGTATGACGTCATATCGAGTAAACGAGTTTAGTCCGTCTTTTTGGTGCTAAATCCATTATGACGTCAAAATTAATTTAATATTTTAATTAAAATTTTTCCCGTTACTTTAATCCAAGACTGTCTCTTGTAATGAAGTTACACAACTGTGATAATGTGAATGGCATGCAATTATTTTGAGGAATGCATAAATTCTAAGAAATGTAAATAGTACAATATCTTGATGAAATGTGTCTGAGTCAAAGATCTGTTAAAGATTGTGTAAATTTTGTAATGTCTATCATGAAATGACGTGCATTCCTTTTTATAATTATTTGTTAATTACTCAAAATGGTTGTTGTATGATATTAATGTTTCCCTAATATATTATCTTTTTAAATAAAAAAAATTACATTTTTGGATAAATATTCACATTGTGAATCTGAATGTAACCCCAAAACAGTCATTTGATAATTAAATCCTGTGTAAGTGCATAAAGGTCAACAAAAGAAGTAATGATAAATAAAGAATAGAGTGTCTCTCATTTGTTCGCGGAGAAAGGTATATATTTTAATAACTTTTTTAATTATCTGGGTATGTTCTTCATCATATTAAAGATGGAAAACCTTCTGATAAAGACTTTTGAAAAATATTTACACATTTAGGTCGAATTTTGACTCCAAAGATATTGAGCACGTTTGCCTATATTGTTGAAATGTGGACTTAATCTTTTATATCAATTGAATAAAACAATTATCCTTGAATAATATTGCGTAGTACGGTTCAGTTAATAAAGTCTATAAACGACGATGTTTGAAGAAGTATTTTTGTGATTTTCTATATTTTCTTTATGACCAGTACTCCTAAAAATGGCTGAACATATGTAGTCTCAGTGTAAAATTATCATTCCAAGTTGCACAGGTTGCACTACATTTCATAACAAGGGAACATACTATATATTTTTAACTGATTGATAAGTGAGTGCTAAGTTATCATTTTGAAAAGTTTGAAAATCTTGTGACAAAGACTTTTCCGACATAGGTTCTACCTTAAGAGTAATTCTATATTTGTATATAAAATTTGTGTTTAAAGCAGATCAATAAACAAATTTGCGCTCATTGTTCTCAAGAGGAAAAAAATGTTTCTTCTTACATTCATTCTCTCTATAGTGAACAAGCATTGTGTCCTACAGTATATAAAACAAATTATTATTCACCATGCATGCGAAATTTTACCCCAGGTAACTGTGAATTCTAAATTCCGTAACATGTTGTATAAGGTAGAATTCAATATACTTCATCAACTGAGCTATTCGGGAATATTGTTCGAACACAAAATATTATTATGCATTGGCTTACGATCATCTGTACCTAAAACTATATGTGAGGGACCATACTGCTGATTTTGTGTTGAAACCTTTATAAATACTGGCGACATAGGGAAATGAGAGAAAGAGAGAGATATTAGGTATTTTTCTATACATACATGAACTTGATTGTTTATGCTAAATTCCAATTTTTCACATATTCTTAAAGATTTAGCTCCATCTCTTATGCATGTTTACATTTATCAACCTTATCTTTCATCAAGGGCAGTTTAGTTTCAATTCTCAAATCTTAAAGCAATATATATATATATATATATATATATATATATATATATATATATATATATATATATATATATATATATATATATATATATATATATATATATATATATATATATATGTCTATTTTGTAGTCTAAAATTATTTTGATTCAAAATTCGAGCAGATTCTTTGAGAAGTTAAAAGAAGTGAAAAAAGATTTGATATGAAAGTAACAGAAACCAAAAACCCAGTATAATATTTGTTTGTCCTTTCTGCCTTCATAAAAACAACAGATATTGATGATAAATTATATAGAATAAGGTGTAGGTAGGAAAAATGTCTATTATTGCTTTTTCTTGGTAGGGTGAAGGAGGGCAATCATTACAGTATTATGATACATATTCAAATACAATTATTCGCCCGTTTCAATCGTAGATTTTAGAATTTATTCCCACAGAATATTAATAAATTTTAATCCTAGAGTATTATTCAGCATCCAATGTGTTGGACGACTTGATGATATAATCCTTGACACTTAATATGCGATCTATATACGATTTAAATTTCCAAAGGCGTGGCCTAGCACTTCGTTAATTATAAGACCCATAATGCCAAATACCTGAGCATACTTGAAGTTATATCTAGGAATGGGAAACTCAAGCTTTACCAGGATTGTAACTCTCTGCTGCCTCCTTATTGCCTTAGGTGCTACATTTTATGAAATAAGTCGAAAGTCCAAAGTACTTCTTCATTGTAGGAGATGATATGTGCTTTCAAAAATCGAAGGAAATTGTCAAAAGTTACCAAAATTGTAAATTTTTCTAGAGGAGGAATTATAAAATAAAAATAATTACAGGCTAGCTGTAGACACAACCATAATCAGATTAGATGCACAATTTTACACAGACAAAAAATATTTGATATTTTCTTTCTTTTCTTTCTTTTTTTTTTTTTTTGTTTTGACTTCATGGCTGATACAATAGGTTTTTAATGAACTAGCACATGTAGACTGTTTCACTTTTGAAGATGATTTTGTTTATTATACATGAAAGATGTATTCTTGTTTTGAGAATATTAAGTATTCATTAATCTAGTTATAGAAAATTTCTTTACCAAAGCGCAAATTGAAAAAAAAAACACCCAAGGAATATAATATTAGAATTTTAACACTTGTTTATTAACATAACTTTCTTGCCTTTGTACATGGTTCACGCTTCCATAGATAAAATTTCACGAAATCTGCTTCAGAATTTCTAAGAATTTGATTCTTTGGCTCTTTGGAGCATTGAATTAACTTGTTAATAAGGAAGATCTCAGTAAGATATCGTATTTCTGTGCAAGGCGTTCTACAATTTCTCAATTATTATACAATCCCTATACGTATTGTTTTTTTAGGTCACTTGATTCACTCCAGTGACCTATTGCTATCTATTTTCCACCGATATGTGTCGTTCGTCTTCCTTTAATTTTTGAACGTTCATCTTCTTCTATAGAACGGCTAAATCAATTCCAGCCAATGTTGGTATATAGTGTAACGATTTTTGACTATATTATTGAAATGTGTGTTTATCTATTTGTGATCTTAATTTATACCGACCGGAAGATTCATTTATCATTATTTTATGTTTAAACTACATTTAAATTTGTTGTACTTTATTGATTTACCTTATTTATAAGTCAATACATATGTACTTTCATTTTCCATTACTTCCGGTCGCGGGAAATTATGTATAGGTTTTACCTGAAATGTGTCGTGATTTTGGGTTGTGCAACGTCACGTTTGGTTATGTTACGTCACATTAGCGTTAACGTTTACTTTTGTAGTCAGTTGAAGTTTTGGGATTCTAGTGAACGGATGTAGAAATTTTTAGAGTTACTTTGTGGATTCTTTTCATTATTCAATTTTTAGTCGCTCCCAGACTATCTTTGAAGTGTCGAGGTAATATAAATATATTATTGAAATTTATATCATTTATTTATTATTTATGAAATCAGGTATTAGTAATTAACTTTAACTTTCCGAATTTCGGGGTCCGGTAAATCTAGCAAGTGACGTTGTGCGACCATATATATATAAATATAAATTGTTGTTGGTTTTGTTAACTATAATGAGTTTCTGAATATCAGAATATAATTTATGAAAACTTTATTATCTTTTGTTGATTTCTTTCGTAAAAAGCTCCTACCAGGTTATTCATAATTATTTTCGCTACCAGAAATTAAGAGACCAGATCTTAGCCGCAACCAGGCGTTTTTAAAACCATACCATATTTACCCATATTTATCCTATCTTGCGAACTCATTACGGCGAAAACGTTACAATAGCATTCATGGCTAAAAGAGTACAAAAAATGTGAATTATATAGTGTATGCTTTCATGGGGCCTGAAAAAGTCATCTTCTTTACTCTTAAAAGTCAATCTGTTGGCAAAATTACAATATGCAGTGAACCTTTTACCAACATGGTGTAATTCATGGTCCCAGGGTCGGAATTTGTAGCTGGGCTCCATTGATCATATGATGAAATTGAATTAATTCCTTTTCAAATATTACTTATCTGCCTGTGAGCATTAAGCAGACAAACTAAGTGCATGACTATGATGATCAAGGGCACCTCTACCTAAATTGTGAAATTCATGACCCTTGTGGAAGAGTTTCTGGTGTAAGGGTGGGGCTTTATTGATCATAGAGTGAAATGCATTAATTCTTGATGATCTACTTCTCTGCTTCTGGATGGAGAAGGTGTACAGTTGCAATGAGCAAGTATTCTGTACCTATCTTGTAAAATTCATTGCCCAGGGTTAGGGGTTCTGCGATTAGGATGAGGTTCTATTGATTAAATAGTAAAGGTGGATTAATTTTTTGAAAAATTTTCTCTGCTCCTGGTCATCTACAGGATAATGGAGTAAATAGTTGTAATTAGTAAGGTTGTTTTATCAGATTAAGAACTTTATGACACTGGAATAGTTGTAATTAGCAGCAAGATTGTTTTCACTTATTTTTGTTACGGGTATCCAGGAATATTGAATCAATATAATTTCATCAGAATGAAAGTGGAGTAGCAATAATGCTATTAAATTTAATTTACAGTACAAAATATCCATTTGCTTAGCATAAAGAAACTAGTAATTAAGGGATTTAAAAACAATTTACTCCTAAAGTCTAGGCTTTTTTTCGTTGACGTATTTGATTTACTGTATGTTTTTTTTTAGGATCACTTACAGAGGCATGTCCAGAACAGAAACCCTGTCCTAGAAGGTGTTCATTCGGATACGTCAAGAACGCAAATGGATGCAAAACATGCCAATGTAAATATCTATAAGATAATATGCAAGGTCTATTAGTTTTCTTGCATACAAGATTTGAATGGAAAATTGCAAACATTCAATTTATGATGAACCATTCTTTGAAATATAGTGGAATGCTCATATGAGTTATCATTACAGCATCAATCTAAAAATCATTTACATGTCGAACCTACGTATTGTAACTGTACGTATGAAAAATCATTGATGTATTGTGTGACATTAACTGTGTAACCATATGATAATGCTTCCATAGATATTTTTGCCCAATATATATACATGACTGTATAAATTACGATCAATTATGTTTTAGGCTGTCCTGTTTTACGATGTCCATTTTGCTGGCGAGGGTATATCTTGGGCAAAGAAGACAACCAGTGTTGGGTCTGCCATTGTAAATGGGGTCTCTGAAGATTTTTATATAAGCTCATGCAATGGATTACCAACGTTAACGTCGTCTGAAAATTTTGGCTCATAAACTTGACAAATTATATTTCTCGTGAATGTTGTTCATTTAAATTTTTAACATCATTTAGACAGTGTATGTTTGATTTATGTTTATTTGAAGCAAGCATGAACATATCCACATTGTAGCAGAATAAATCTTAAGCATCTTAAAATGATTTAGTTTTTGATAAAAGATGCATGTACCAAAGTAAAAAAAATTAAAAATTAGCAAACATTAGACAAGTGTAGTTATCTAAATATAAATCAACAATACTTTAAAACACACAGACTACTTCACTCAAGCGAAAGGATTAAATAAAGATATAATTTTCCGGTTATAAAATTTATGTATGCCAAAGAGAAATACTATAAATCGGGGCTTATGACCCTGAATAAGGACTACGAAAAGGAAATCTTTTCTTAACGGTTTTTTGTATATAATTGTGATATAAAGTGTTATATTGAATATCGATATTGATATTGAGTACCACCCAATAGTCTAATATCACATTTAAAAATGCAGGATTCTTCACTTTTTCATAGTGATTAACTTCTTGAAATTTGAGGTCGATGGTGAATTTTTGAGATCAAGAAAAAGACATTATAACTTTCAGTAGCAGCTAATAAGAACATAAATTTTAATCTACATTTTGCAGGGAAATAGTCTTGTATAAAATTATGTGCGTCATTACTGTTCTTTATCGATTAGACGGAGATTATTGTTGTGAAAATTAATTTGAAGTATAAATTGCATCTTTGTTTATTAAAGCGGAATTTACCGGTTGCAATCATTGTAGAAAAAATACATAAACTGTATAAACGGGTTATATAAATTTTGTCTGCAATGGTTTGAGCAGTAACATCTGCATTAAAAAAAACAAATCAAAAAAAAAAACAAAAAAAAACAAAAAAAAAAAACAGACATTTATATTTCATATTTATGTCTGAATAAATAAATTACCGCAAAAGTGCTTAAAATATTGTTTTTTTTTTTATCTGTATATCAGTATATTGCTGGAAGAGCCTATTTCGTACATGTTAGATATTCTTCATACAAATGGCTTTAAAAACTCGTTTTGACTTGTTTAGAGTTAATGAACTGTTTAAAGGAATCCGTTTTCCTAAGAAATAAAATGAAAACAATACTTAATTAAGATAGATATAATATTTTTCTATAAACATGTAATTATTTCCTTTTGCTTTTCAGTTCACTACTACTCGCTCTACAGTATCCAAATACCGAAGACGAATATTCAAGGGTTCAAGCATCTTTTCTTATAATTTCAGTGTACTTTTATTTAGAATCAAAATGATTAAAAACAAAGTAATTTTGTAGACCTATCACAAAATAGGAAATTATTTGTGTTCCGTTTTTATTGACCTGTAAGGAATGTTAATCTTCAATTTGAACAGTTGGAAACGTGACTTTGCTTTTGTCGTTTTATCTTATAACTGGAATACATTTCTTAGTTCCTGCAGAAAAAAAGGATTCTTATCAACCACTCTACATTGTTAAAGTCTCAGTTGCACATTTTGGAGATCAAATAACCGATCTCAGGTCAAAGTAAAATACACACAATAGGCAATCATAATAAACTGAAGACTGAGAACACAGGCCTGAAATCAAAGAATTACCAAGATATCGTGGCATTGGAGAAGGACGATTGTGTTAAATTGCATTCAGTTGAAGGCTGTGCAAATTGATCTCGTTAAAAGACTTATCCTATGTTTTAAAATATTTTAGTTTACGCAAAATATTACCTACAACACTTTTTACTAAAATGCTATATTAAATAAATGTTGTAAACATATATGTTACGATATTGAAAGTTGAAATTCAAATACGGTGACATGCATGATTCAATCGGTGATGTTGCAAAAATAGAGTGATGATAATCAAAATAGAGTATGTACATAAAGGATAAACCTATCTGCTGACCTATTTTTTTTCATTTTCATTTCTGACCTGGATATTCCAGACGATGGATCGGGTGCTTGGAAGGAGTAAGCATCCCCTGTCGACCGGTCACACCCACCGTGAGCCCTTTGTATTGATCAGATAGACGGAATATTCCATAGTCAAATTTAGTATAAAAGCAAAGGCCTACCAATTGTTATGTAAAACGTCAGCCAAAATACAACCTAGTGATAGATTATATTTGCTAATAGGGTTATTGTCAGTAACCTTTCTCGATTTAAAAATTAATCATACTCAGAACATGCTATTGAGTAGCAAATAAGTTAGGAGACTTAACCCCCATATGCAGGTGATAGCCAAATATTACTACAAAAATAAGGAAAGATGTCGATGGAAAAGCTGAAATCATCTCGTTTATCATAAAATTTAATTGTTAATTGACCCTTATTGTCTATAGTCAGTGAAACATCCATATATGAAACAGATGTGGCAGACACTAAAGTATCTTTGATCACTGAGATACATCGATTCTACATAGGAATGGAAATAACTAAACAACTATAATTGTTAATTGATAAAACGGCGTCGTTATATCTGAATGTCGAGTTGAAGGCCAAAGAATGTGTTTTTTTCTTCTCGTGTAGAAGTTTTTGAAAACAAATTCTGCTCCATTGGAATATAAGAACTGACTAGTTAATAAAAGAGCATAATTTCTGCCCATCGAAAATTCCAACAGTTTGTTGGAAGACCTGACCTTCAAAGACTATTTAATTGTTGTCAATTAGGAACTCCAGCGTCCTTTATATATTATTTTCAGAGTACTTCTGTGTAGTATCAATGTGCTTTACAACGTTATTTTTTGTCCCCCGCTTTCAATGAATGTTGGTGATATTACTTTTTGTCAGTCTGTCCGTCTGTCTGTCCGTCAGTCCATCTGTAACACTTTCGTTTCCGCGTGATATCTCGAAAAGTCTTCGAGCTTTTGCAATAAAATTTTACATAACAACTCCCCTTGGCCTAAAGAAGACCCCTATTGATTGTGAGGTCAAACTGTTAAAGACAAGGTCATGAATTTATAAATACTGTCTGTTTTAACACTTCCGTTTAGGTGTGATATCTGGAGAAGCCTTTGAGCTTATGCAATGAAAGAAGAAGGTACGGTTTAAGCTTTATTGTGCCTTAAAAATTTAATGTTTTCAAAAAGTTTTGAAACTGGTTTAAATATTAGTTGAGTATATGACTGTGATAAATGAGGAAAGAATATGGCATGAAGGAGTACCATTCTGGAAATATGACGTCATTAATTTGATGCATTTCTCTATTTTAAACAGAAAAAGCCTCAAAATGACCCATATCAAGGGTTATTTTCCTTAAGAAAATAGTGTCCACAGCCGTCGCCCACTTTAGTTTTCGGATATGTTGTGTAAAATTCTTTGAAAAAGAACATATCTCAAAATCTTTGTGGGCGATGCCTGTGGACAATATTCTCTGAGAGAAAATTCCATTGAAAATTGGTGTCTTCTGCAACATTTTAAAAAAATACGGGAAAATGCACAAGTTTATGACGTCATAATTAGCATTTAGAAGGTCATGCGAGAAAAATGATTTGTTTGATCTTTCTGCATGGAATTTCAATGATTCAAAAAGCTTGAGTTTTAATGTTTTACATCACTTTCAGTTTTAAGAAAAACACAGGGCAAGATTTGTATTAAAACCGTACCTTGTTCTTTTACAAGACAACTCCCTGTGGCCTAAGAAAGACCACTATTAATTTTGAGGTCAACATGTAAAAGGTCAAGGTCGTAGCTTCATACATTCCATCTGTGATTAACACTTCTGTTTCCGGTCTATATCTCAAAAAGATTCTGGGCTTTTGCAATGGCATTTTATACTATAACTCCCTAGGACCCCGCCCACCCCTCTCAAAGTGTCCCGTCCTGCGTTCTTTTTTTTTTTTTTTTAAATTTTGGTAATTTTTTTTCCAATTGGAAATTAATTGGCACGATCACGCTAAAAAATTTAGAGCTACTCCCCGTCTGTATTAAAGTCGCGTGGCCCTTGTTTTTCTTTAGCACAGGAGCATATGGAGAGTTGTTATATATTATACAGATTGTCGGCGGACTTCAGATTTTAATTACATCTATATCATTTGTTTAGTACAGGCAAGATTAGACACCATGTGTTGTGTAAAATTTTGTAAATATAGAACGTGAATGTTACCTGCTGTTTGCATTTGATTTGTACCACTCCATGTCTAACGCCTCGTTGGTCTAGGGGTATGATTCTTGCTTTGAATGCAAGACGTCCCGGGTTCAAATCCCGGACAATCCCGTAGTTTTTTATGCCATTTTTTCGATTTACTGAGTGAAAATATTCAACATATGAAATGAAGATATTATGACGTCTGGCATGTTCAAACTTTTTCATAAAATCATTATTACAGTGTGATAAATATTTCATCTAAAAGAATCTTCTGTACACATTTTAAAGAATATGCAATCAAATCTATATATCCATATTGTCATTTTTTATTTTTCATTTTCTTCAGTATATTCATTTAATAACTAACCCTCGAATGGGACGTTAAACAACAATCAATCAATCAATCTAATAACTAACCAAATCCAGGGAGTGCGACCTTCGACATTCCCACCCCCTTCCGATCTGTGCAGGCTCTTTTTTTCTCCTTAAGCAGGGATACAAATTCTCTGAATTACCTTGTTTGATGACAAATCACAAGATCTGAAAATTTCCGAGTTCAATTTTTATTGGAAAAGCCGGTGTGTATGATATTTATATACTCTATTATCTATATAACGTCATTTTAAACAAAATGAACTTAGCTTTGATCTCATTCACTCGGCCATCTAGGCAAGTCAATTTAATGAAACTTGCTCTCAATGCCGATGGAATTTTTTTCGTGCCGCCCTACACTACATAATCATTGAGAATGGAGGTGAGATAGTTATTTGGACATTAGTTTTATTAGATGATCGTTACCGATACATATTGTAATGAAATTAATTTTATATTTAAAGCACATTTAATTTACAACAACTCCTACGAGGGGTAATAAAAAAGTTCGTGGACTGTAAGTCAAATTTTGGGAGGTATTTTTTGGTCTAAAACTTTTGTGTCCAACTTATAAACGGATCCAGAAGAAAGTTCTCTAAACAACATGAAAAAGTACAACCGACGTATAGGCGAATCGACTTATAGGCG